TTGAAGTTCACGACGAAGATTATTAGGATATAATAAATACAATAAATCGAATAATGAATAAATAGAAAGAGCAAATGTCGATGGTGCATCAAAAGAAACTAAAAATATTACATATATATATATATGTATTAAAAACAGAAAAAAACACAAACTTACGATTTGCTTTAACAAAATGATTGACTGCACGTTTAAGAGCATCAATTAAAAGTGATATTCGATGATGAATTATATTAGGATTAATAAGAATAATTGAAGCAAGTGTAAGACAACTTAAGCCATATATATCAGGTTCAAACTAGAATTGTTTTTTATTCTTTCGAAATAAGAAAAATACTGCAAAACAAAAGCAAATATAATTTTCTCACTTACATGAATTAATTGACCAGCATAAGAAGGAAATAAGAGAATACGATTTTGTTGTTGAATATCAAATCGATCACCATTGATAGGTGATGTAGCTAATAATTTAAATATTTCAATAAAAATAATTGCTAAACGACGACGTGCTCCTTTTCGATGAACATTTGCTCAGGATGATGAAAGAAGAGATGAACGTTGATTATAACTTGATAGATCATCTTCATTACTATCCATTGTTTGAGATGCTGCATTCCAAATAAAATCGGCAAGTGCCTATTTTTAAGATAAAAATTGCATCGGTAATTTGAAAGTAGAAAAGTTGTTAGTGCAATCTCTGCATGATTAAAATGTGAAATATGATTGATCTGTATATATTGTAAATAGAGGTCTAAGCCAATCGGCTCAATTGCTGCTCTTCTTGTAAATAGCTGCAAAAATTCTAGTAGCCGTTAGGATGAGGATTGATTTTCAAGGATGACCTTGTCTAGTTTCTTATTATCATACTCTTTAATATCATTTCAAGGTTCCACGGAACTAAGAAAATTTTCAGCTGTTATCGATTAATGCTTTCGTTTACATCGCTAATTGTAAATCAAGAAAGCCTGTAATATATGCTTTAGTTTGGAATTTCCAACGTACTGATATGTCTGTGATGAAAGATATTATTCGTCATAGGTTACAGTAATTTTGAAAAAAAGGAATCAAAGACATATGCCTTAAATTCAATCTTCTTTCATAGTATCCGGCAGAAGGCTGTAGTTTCGTGACAAAGTCTGTCACACATTGTGATGGAAAAAAATTGTTTCTAAAGTGTCTGTCACGCCTGCAAGGGGCACAATATGAATCCAGATGAACATTAAGTGAAAAAACGAAATTTACCTTTTCATCGATTCAAATAGTAATAAATATACCTTGAGATATGGTCTATCTTATGGTGGAAGAAAATTTTTTATTACGAATTTTAAGTAGAGTGAAACAACCAGAATTCAAAAACTAGCCTGGTAGGCACACCTAGTAGATATATTGAATCTGTATATTATCTGGCATCGATCATCCAAGAGATCTTTTAATTTGAGAAAAAAAAATATAAGTTTTTCCGAAACTAATTTTCTGAATAGCTAAACTGAGTAAAATGAACGCGTACCCTTAACACCAATCTAGAATATCAGACTGTTCTATTCTATGTCCTCTACCACTACGGCTAGCATAAACGCTCCTGAATCACATAGCAAGTTTTCCGAAAAGTCTTGACTTTTCCACTAAACTTGTTTTTTTTTTCAACCTTCAAAGCATTTCTATTGAAAACCAATGGTATATTCTGAAGTTACATCGGATGATGTATGACACATGACATTTTCTCGAAAAAATGTGAACAAAGATTTCTCTCAGCTGTTTTTCACCGAAAAATACTTTATTTTCTTAAAAAATAGTTTTCTGAAGGGGGAACTACCCGAACTAATATCCGTCGTTTGAGCTCCTATTGGATTCACAAGGAGATCTTAGTAAGACTAGAAAAATCCTAGAAAGATTCATACACATGGTTTTCAGAGTCAAGTTATCATCGTTTTACTGAATTTTCGATCCAGCTTTAGGTATTTCTCGGAAAATCAAATAAAAGAATTTCGATCTGAAACTTTGTCCGTAAGCAAGTTGAATGACTGGTAGAATAAGTTGAATGTTACTTTGTCAAGATATTGAATTTCCAAAAAATAGCCGTTTATCACAAAAATGAGTCTACCTTAAAATTCAGTATCGTGGCAAAGTAACATTCGGGATATTCTATTACCAAATCCTAAATATCAGTCTAGAAGCTAAACCTACTCTTATTCTAATTCAATCCGGAATATAATATTCAACAAGATTTATTTTCACTTTTGTTCCGTCATTGTAAGAGACAATAGTTTCAAACAAGAATATAAGGAAATAAAAATTATTATCAGATTTGTAGTGATAAATTCCAAAAAACACAAAAGACTGGTTTTTCAACACTTTGAGGACGTAAATATAACTTTGTTTAGACTACATAGAACGACAGAGCAAACAATTCGCTACAAAATGAGAAATTGCCGAGTTCTGTGCAACGTTTTTTTAGTTGAGATACAACAATGTTACGGAAGCATCTAAAATCGTATTATTACTATTTCCTATAGAAAAATGATTAATCAAATTGCTGTGTATCAGCCAAAACCATCCTAAAGAACTTGGCAATTTTTCATTCTGTAGAGAATTGTTTACTTTATCGTTCGATGTTGTCTAAACAAAATTATATTTACGTCCTCCAAGTATTGAAAAATTAGTCTTTTTAGTTTTCTAGAATCTCTATCTTTGTAAGTCTGATAATAATTTTTATCTTTGGTATATGCCTGTTTGAAACGATTTTCTCTTAAGACAACGGAAAAAATTGAAAATAAACTTTGTTGCATAATTTTGATATTCACTGTATAATGACTAATCACCTTATTTATGTTGATGATTAAATTCAATTACTATCTCATCTCTTCATTTATTTTATATAATTTCAAGCAATGCTTTCTCTAGCATTAAAAATCTAATAATCATTCAAGATTTATATAGTCGTTTCAAAAAAAAAGATATGCTCGTAGATTTTCTTTGAAATCGAAATATGAAACACAATAGTGTTACTGATTTTTTATTATCAACAAAACATTTATATTGTGTGTGTACAGGAAATAAATAATAGATATATTAATTTTTTTTCTTTCCTCTTATTACAGATTACAGCATGCAATATTATTTGATACAATCTATAAAAAGAAAGATCTTATATTTCTTTTTCATAATTATTACCTCGAAACATTCATTTGGACAATTTCGAATAAGATCAAGAACATCATTCGAACCTTCCAAGAGATATTCATTAACCAAACTTTGAATAAGTTGACGATCATCATCTATGAAAATGAATTTTCTTTTTTCTTGAAAGATAATAAATTGTAAATTAAAATCTATATCTTTATAAAGCCGCATTGATTTATCTATTGTCATACTACTTTCAGACCATTGTCGTCTATGATTGTTATTGTTATTATTATTATTATTGTCATTACTATTACTAATAGTTGTTCTATTCGTTAACATTATATTCTAGAACAACGAAAGCAAAAAAAACAGACAGATATTTGATCCGCTAGATTTATTGTATCATAAAATGCTGAATTTTGCCGGTGGAACTAACAAAACAAAATCTAAATAGACGTCTCACTATAAACTATTTAAAATATTACAAACAAATAAGAAAAAAAAAAGAACAAAATAATATGGAATTTTATTTATTCAGATGATGATACTTGATCTTTTGTATAATTCATGCGTCTTTCTCGCCAACGTTTCAAAATAAATATTTATTCAAATAGTTGAAAACAAATCTAATAAATCTTACTTAGCTTCAGCATATTCATTTTTCATATTGAAAATGAATAAGATGAGGTATTGGTGCAAAATCACGAATAAGTAAATATTTTTCAAATGGATGTTCAATTATAAATGGAACATATTTTGTAAAATAATAATTGATAAAATAATACCAAACACAACCTAATGCTGTTCCAACAAATGCACCAGCAACAACTTGTGTCATAGTATGATAATGAAGATATACTATATATAGATAAATGGAAATTCGAGAGTTTTGTTTATTTGTTATCAAAGTTCGTCTATCTACCGGTTATATACGACTAGAGCAGCAACGATAAGTTGTGAAAAAACAAGAAAACGGTTGCGTAATGAACGAATACGTGGTGTACCAGGCATTTGAGATCTAATATTTATTAAAAGAGATTTTATTACAAAAAAAGATAAAAAAATAAATCGATTTACTTAAGAATAATAAATATAGCTAAATATGTCATAAAATAAAAGAATGTTTGAGAATGATCACTTGGTATACCATGAACTTCATATAAGCCTATCCGATCTTAAGCTTAAAATAAGTTAAAATTTAGGTATGCTAAAATATATTATAATTACTTACGAGAGAACCTCCTCAGATGTCCTCTTCTGATTTCAATGATTTATTTTTTGCCTATAGATACTGGATAGTATCTACAGGCAAAAAAAAACATTGAAATTGGAACGGGATATCTGAGGAGGTTTCCTCATTAGTTGAATGTTAATAAAAAACTCGAAATTAGTCAACAAGTGAACTTTGTTTTGCTGTTATATTACGAGCAGTTTAATTTCAAATATTTTTTTCTTTCCCAAAGCTTTCTTAGACATGAGTGACAATTGACTAATTTTCATTTCGACGCCGTACATGTCTTTATAATACTTAATTGCAATGAAGGTTATCAAATAGATTAAAAAAAAATCTAAATTGCGTCGATTAAAATATTTCTTCTCTTCGAACCGACTAATAATAACATATTCATTTGAATAGTATTATTCTAAATAAGTGTCTTCATCCGATATTATTTTTATATTTAATTCTACTAATAAGCATGATTCAGATTAAACATCATATTAGTTTATTTTCGAACAATAATGGTTCTAAACAAACACGACAGTCTAAAGATCACCTATCTCCTCATAAAATAGAAGTAATAAAGAAATCGTTTCGAGAGTCACTCTAATAATTGTTTGAACACAAAACTTAAAATCTAGAAATTCGCCAAGAGATATTAAATGTGGTTGTTAAAGTGCAATTTCAATGCTTTGTAAAACTCTCTGGTGAATAGCAGCTTCTGACTCAAAAAAAGGCATTAATAATTAATTTCATTACTGGATGATTACCTAAAAAATAAATAAAAGTTTGAAGTAATTAAGTTCGACTTAAACAAATACAATCTAAGCGTTTACCTAAATGTTTTGAATATGTTCTGAAAATGATCCAATCTTGCTACTAAATAATGTACGAAAAATCTCTAAACATATATTGGTTTAATATTGATTCAGTTGTCTTTTTTTCGTCTAAAATCTATCCTCAGATAGCTAAATTTTTGAAAAAAAAGAAGCTTAAAAAATTACTTATGAAGCTGATTAATCAAGATTTACATATAAAGTTCATTCTTTAATTGATAAATTTTTCTAAATATAATCCTCATTTGAGTCTTTGAATTTTATTGCTGACTATTTTATTTCAAAAAGAAGTTATCTTGTTCATGAATTTTCTATAAAAATTATACGAAGAACTTTGTGTTCATAAAGACACTACTTGACTAACTTCGAAAAAAAAACCATATTCACACTACTTTCAAATCTTAAAAAACATACTTCTTTCAGGTCGTACTTGTTTAAAAAATCTTTTAAGAGAATAATTACACACTTCCGATACACAAAAACCACCGAAATACATAATCTACAAGAAAAAACTTATGTACAGAATAAAAAAAAAATCTTGTTGTTTTTTATTCTACCGTTTGTATATCACGTCGAAATACAATTAATGTGCATAGAGAAACAATATAAATAAATGGTAACATTGAAAATTATGCCAAAACAAAACCAATTTTATCTCCTAAATTAATTTAAAAATAAAATCAAAAAAAAAATAAACAAATTCAACGTTTATATTTACCTTCTTGATATTCATTGAAAGTTACTAAACAAACGTATAAAATAAGATTATTTATTAAAAGAATAAATAAAATTTACTTGATAATGGGGGATAAATCGGATCCGACAAAACTCCCATTTTAATTAATTAAATAATAAAAAAACAAGATTTCGAAAATAATTTATAAATATTCGAATATTAAGATCGAATTATGTCGAATAGAACAAAAACAATATTTATATCAATCAACCAATATAATGTATTTACCTCTGTCATAAATCTACAATAAACTAATTTTTCTATTGGTTCAATATCCACAATGAATATCATTACTAAGCAACATACATTTGAAATGATAACTTCATTTTTAGAAGTTCTTTTTCGGTATTTCAAATAGAATTTGAAAGAAAAAAAAAGAAATAAATAATTATTTATATTCAAATGCTGGTCAATATCTTCCTGCTGGTTATGCTAATCAACATACATTAGCAAGTGAAGGTCCTGATAATTATTTAATGAATTTTTATATCGCACAATATTCAAGTACTTATCGACCACCACGTATCCAAGCAAAATCAAATATTCTTGCAGATAAATCTTTAACAACAGAAAATCTTCTTACACAAAAATTAAAAGCTGATAGAGCTAAAACTGGTTTTGTCAATAATGAACGATATTATTTACCATATACACGTTCATTAGATGAAATTGATAATTCAATACTTGGGTAATATATTTTAATTTATATTTATGAAGAATAAAAAAAAACCATGCGAAGAGTTTCTTATGTTATTTTAATCAAAAATTTATTAGTATTGTGATTTTCTTCAGAATGATTTGATTTTTTCTGTTAGGTTTATTATGAAAGTTTTCATTGAAAATATACAATTTGTTTTAAAAATTGTTCCGTATATCTTTACTATTCGATTTTTTTTAAATGATAGATCAATATACCGCATTTTTATTTATATAAACAAACTTCAAAAGTACCCTTCAAAGCTATCAACTCTAATTGAAATAGAAAAGCTTACTCCTTTTCTATATGTAGAAAGACATTATATAACAATTCTTTTTTTAATTGCTTCCTTTTCTTGGACGTTATTCACACGGCTACTCTCTACATTTTTTTAATATAAGCACAGCTACTGTATATGGAGTCTAAATGATCTGTGTACCATTTTCGAAGTTGCAATGCACTTATAAAAAATTACTGTTTATGCTCCAGAGCTTCTTTTACCTGATTTTATAGGAAAAAAAAGAAATACTAAAACAAAATGATTTTTCAGCAACATAGAGCATCAGTATATCACTCGAAGACAGTTCGCTTCTAGCTGACTGATAAGTTTAATGATCGATGGTTTAGAAGAGATGAACCAATCTCATGAACTTCATGATCACTAGACTTAATACTATTGGATTTCTTTGTAGGAGAATACTATATGAAAAGAAATGTCTATAAAACAATAATTAAAGAAAAAACGATTTGTTATATAAGATTTTTCTACATAAAGAAAAAAAAAAGGGTAATTTTTTCATTTTGGTTAGGGGTAATAGCTTAAAGTTCTTTTAAAAGCATTGAAATATATATATTATTTTATAGAAAATAAATGAAAGATAATGTATGAAACTGAAATTATTCTGAATATGATTTACAGTATGCCCTATAAATATCGTCTATATGTTTAATTTCAATGGACTGATTGCTTGATGGATGATAGAAGAGTATTCAAAGTTTTTTTATTGATAAAAATGAAATGTTATAGAATATTATTGTAAAGTATTACTATCGACTTTTATATAGATTTGTTGACTGTTAAGTGCTTCAAAAAAATTATTATATAAAGTGTATTCGAAAAGTTAGTCTCGGAGAGCCAAGAAGGAGATCGGATTGGTTCCATCTGTGTTGCAGAGGAAATTCTAATAAAATCACCATATTCCACCCAATGATGAACTAATTTTGTTCCAATTATAGAGAAATATATCTTGTGAGAATCAGCTTACATAAAACTAATATCTTAAAATTTAAAATTGTTATCTATATACCTAATATTGTCTAAAATCCGTAAAAGCTCACAAAGCTTTATTAAAGTTGATATTTCTTAATGTATTGTTTTTATCGATAAAAACTTTCAACGTTCTTCTATCGTCGACAAAAAAAATCAGCCCCGATCTATGATTCCGATGTCTGGATCTGTGAATTTTCGGCAGACTTCCGTCGGAAAACTTGGGAAAATGGTAGGAGCTTTAAAGCATGAATCTGGTGGCCAGGTTTTTCTAGTTTCGGTCGTAGCCAGGCAGAGTCGGTCACCGAATTCCTCCTTCCAAGTTCCGACCATGTCTCCAAGTTTTTCCACCGGAAATGATGACCCGTATTTCTTGACCTGGGAACCTATTGGAATTAAACATATAGGAAATATTCAATTTTTTTTTGTCGTTTAAATATTTATGGGACACTCAGTAGACTACTTTATATGATCAGATCATATTCTTCCAATGTTTACAAGAAAAAAACGGAAGTTTTTTATTTATGACTCATAATGCAGTGAATATTTTCATTAAATATTACTTACTGTGACAGTGGCGAATTGAGAAAGATGGCAAAGCAACGATCGCCATCTTTTGATGATACATCTTTTCTCGGTTTTCCTCAGCAGTAACGAAAACAAGAGGTTATACTATCTCGCAGGAGCCTCGGAAATCGTTTTTTCTGGATCCACAATTGAACTAGGGATTAATAAAAACTATTTTGTGTCTAAAAAGTCTACAGAATATCTTGAAACTATTGTTTATTGTCTCTATAATATTCCTAAACAAAACAAATTTAATTCAAAGAAAATCTTAGTTGTGATTAAATGTTGTCAGCTAGTTCATCACTCTGACAATTAGTGGCGTAGTCAAAACACTAGCGCCTGTCTTATTTTGGATAGGCAGTGGCGCCCTTAGTGAGTGCGTCGTGTCATCAAGAATACACAATGTAAATAAATTAGCTGCAGTCTCCAGTATCCTTCCTAGAACAAGATAGGAGCTAGGGTAGTAGTTTCGCCGTTAGCTACTCTACCGGTGATTTGTATCCTGGACAAAACAGCGCACATAGCGATAGCACCACTTACCACAGCCCATCTAAAACGAAAGGATCGCTAATGTTCTGCCCCTCGGCTGTTACTGACAAATTCAGACTCGTCAGTCTTTACTTCTT